GTGCTTAGGGACATGGTTTAGTGGTGGACTTGGCAGTGCTAGGTTAACGGTTGGACTTGATGGTCTTAAAGGTCTTTTCCAACCTAAAAGATTCTATGATTGTAGCTTTACTTCTTTTTAAGTATTTTAACGATTCAACATGATAGGTTGCTATAAGTAAGAGAAGGGACCTTACTAAATTTAGCATTTCACATAAAATATTTTATGTAGTCTCTCTTCTTTTAGTATTTTTTTAGTATTCTTTTTTTTTTAGTACTTTTCTTTTAGGTGGTTGGTTTGTTTGTTTGTTTGTTTGTTTTTCACTTTAAGTTGATAAATACATACATTCTGTGGTGACTACACAAAAGGTTTTTCCTCTTCAGCTTCTTTTTCACCCAGTTTAATAGAAGTTTCTGCTTATATTCTTTTGGTCTCAGCTGCATGACAGTGACCTTCAAGATGCTATTTGTGATAACAAATTGCTGAATTTTATACCTGAAGGCAGGAATTACAATATACTGGTGTTTGCAGATGTGTTTAGTTAGCTGTTCTCCAAAAACACTTACCAGATTCTTCTGTTATTGCTGCAACTTGTGTGACACATTTTCAAATGCTGGTGGCCTCTCCATCTCATTTGTGGCTTAGGTATGACATTCTTGCCTGTTACTTTGTTTTCTTCATGTTATTTTCTTTTTTCTTTTTTTATTTATTTTTCGTTTGGGTTTGGGGTTTTTTTTGGTGTTGTTTGTTTGGTTTTTTCTTTTCTTAACACATTATCAGTGTATGTGCCAGTTCCTGAACTCCATTTGAGAAGTTAATTGTAGCTTAGGGTAGTGCACAATAGCATTCTTTATACCTCCTTGTACTTGGCGTGATGTCCCTGTTGCAGATTAGAAGGACTTGAAGGCCGCAGTAGTGACTGGAAACCCTTGAGAGCCATTTCAGCACCTGGAAATTACTGTGGGACTGAACCACTCTGATAATATACTTCTTCCTCAGTCAGATCAGCTTTGAGAGATTGGTTTCCCTTAGACAGGCTTTGCAACATCTTAAGAAAGATCTTGCCCTGAAATGCCGGATATATTATTTAAAGAGTATCCTACATCCTTTTGCACAGAGAGGGCTCTAGCAGATAATATCTTTTGCTCCTTTGTCTTATTCCCACCTGATAGCTAAAGTTCTTGCTGCATTATTAAATCACGTTACCTATCTTCTGGCATATTTTTCCAGCTTAATTATTTCTTGCTATGTTTACCCTGACTATTTTTTGAAGAGTCATATGTCTATAATCCTTAGGAAGGAAGTGCTGTCATACTCTGTGCTCCTGTGGAAGAAGTGCTCTCATACTCTGTGCATTGCTGACATCCCTCTCCCTCTCTGCTAGCTGGGAAGTTATTTGATTCATTGGCATAGCACCTATCCAGTCCCCCCAGCTGAACCCTGAGATAAATAAGGAGTCTTTCTTGCTGAGAATTTAGTGTGGGGATCCATTAAAGGTTTTCAATTATCAAGATGCTGAATTTTGAATTGACAGAAGGCTGAGGTAGCAGGCAGAAATGTCTGAGTCTTCAACATGCAAAGAATTTATTTTTTGTCTTCAGAAAACGAGTGCTACACTGGTCAATTCAAGATCTGTGATCACTGATTGTAATTTAGTGCCCATATTTTGAACCCATTCTTTTTGTGATGTATGTGCTGCAATATCGTTACGAGAAGGGGAAGAAAAAGTTTTCCAAGAAGTCAAAGAAAGAGAGCTACTAGCCATAAGAAAATCCACAATGGTTCCTCCCTAAGGCATGGTCATTTCAGCAACTCTTAACAATAAAGTAAAACCAGATCAGAGACTGAATGTCAGCTGTTCTTACTAATTACAAAGGATGTAGCGAAACATGTGAAAAAAAGTGCCTACTGCTTGAGTTTGTGTCTTTCAGAATGCCTGGTGCTTAATAATGTGTGTGTGTGTGAGTCTTGAAAAAAATGTTCCCGACATAGTGAAAAGCTGTTCATATTTAATTTATTTTCATTAAAACGTTTGACAGAATTTCCTTGCTGTCTTGCTACATCTCAGTAGAACTTGTGGTGGACAAACATGACGTAGGTGATGGAGAGGGAGAAGCTTAGTAAAAAATTAGAATATTTAAATTTTTCTTTTTAATGGTAGAATTTTTGTGGTAAACTTAAGTACTATATTTTGGTCCAAAACAGTGTAAAATTTTTTAGAATTATCCTTGAACATCAGTGTCTCACCATTTCTGCAATGCTATATAGACCTTTATTGATCCTTATATTTATCAAAACCTTAGTTGTGCTTCTCAGCTGTTTATATATTTCCCTGTCTATAGAACTGTGCAGTATTTGTATCCATGGATCATCAAGAAACATAAAAACTGTTTGAAATTTACTAGATGAAGTCATTCATTGCAGTTCCACTTGGGTTCTGTTGCTTGAAGAATAGGAGAAGGTTAAAACACTCCCACAAATATGTTTAAGGGGAATACATAGATACATAAATATTTAGAGTATATAAACCTTCATGTAAGACAGAGTTGTATCAAAGAGGCTCCTGTAGTTATTCCATGCACTGAACTAACAAGTCAGTTAAGAACAGATGCACTGACTCTCAAATTAAAGTCTGCTTTGATGCCTGCTTAGGAAACAATGCAAAAAAAAAAAAAAAAAAAGACTTATCTATAATTTGAGAGAAGAATCCTAGACTTACTCTGTGAGGCTTTTATTAAGTAGACTTGAGACCTACTTAGATCCAGACCTTCTCAAAAATTTGAAGCAGCTACTGACATCAGGGGCACAGCAAACCAAAAAATCCAGATGCTAATTGTCAGTCATTAGAAACAATGTGAGTCATATTTTGAAAAGTGAAGTTGCAACTTTACATGAGTAAGCCTCTTTCTCTCCTTAATGCAGTGGGGTATTTGTTTCAGCTTTATAGTAGAATTTCAATTCTATAAAAAAATAAGTATTTAGGTATTTCTATAAACTGCATAGAAACATGAACCCACTGGGAAGAGAGGGGACAAGCAGGTTTCCATTCTGCTTGAAAGGAGCAGATGTTCTGCCAATAACGCGCTATTATAGACTAATATTAGTAGTGTGATTCTACATTAAGATATGGTTGACTTGAGAGACACTGCTGATTTCCCTTTTATGACGTGTACAACTGTAAATAAAGTTAAAGTTTAGTTTTCTGAATGAGGTAAGCCAAATCCAAGATACTCACTAGAGTGTGCTGCACTCCATACAATGCACTTGGTTAACCTTTATGGAAATTGTTGAAATTCTAATTTCCTGGCACTTTTACTGCTTTACAAGGGCCTGCATGTTTACAGCCTTCACCACATGCGCAACCATTTTTTCTTTCTTTCTTATGAGAGAACCTCACCATCAGAGAGAGGGCATGCAGAAGCCTCCCTCTTCTATAGCACACAATTTCAAATGCCTTTTTTATTAATGTTTTCACAATTGTCATTGAACTTTCTTCTCCAGTTTGTAGTTTCTCTTTATTTTACATTGCTTTCTAGTACCTCTTTTGAATGCATGTATGTAGGTTATATTACTTCAGCTTTCATCTGATTCTGAGATGTGAAAGGTACCATTAAATTTTTTTATGCAAGATCGTAGGAAAAATGCCATTACTAATTATTGGTAAAATAATTGTCATTCTCTTGCTAGCTCTTGCTACTATTAATACATGCATTACTAGCATTGGTGGTCACTGGCATTTGAGTTTATAACGCAGTGCTGCTGATGGCGCTGAAATATGCCATGCATTTGTGAAACAGTGATGTTGATCATAGTTTTAGTGACCTTCCAGTGGTCCTTAGCTACAGCTGACTAGATGATGCCTGTGTAGGTATATTTGTTTCTTTTTGAAGAGAGTCCAAAGAGTGAGTTTAAACATGCAGCAGCTCTTTTGTCATCAGAGATTGCCCCAGGGAAGTCCCAGCAGAATCCTTTCCTTTATCTCTCCCTTGTCTCTAGTGGCAGTGTCATGAACAGAAGCAAGCTCCTCTTTCATGATATAAAGAATCAGTCTTTTTTGTCCCTGTGTTCACAGTCAAAGCATACTTTTAGCTCTTCATTTTCTTCTGGAGTTATAGGTTCACTTGCTTGCCAAAATGATCCTCTGCATCATCTGTTTAGTCAGATGTTTGTACCTTTTTCCTGTAGATCTCACACTTGCCACTAATCTCCTGGCTTTTTAGATTTCTAGATTATTGTCACACTTTGGGATGGAAAAAGTAGGGATGTTAAATGCATTTTCAGGTACTACCATTTGTTTATCATAAGGCACTGACCTTGTTTGTGGGCTATGAAATAGTATTATTGTAGTAGCCAAGAGCCACTAGAACCTCACAAGGTGCAGGATGGTATGACAGATTTGGGTTTATATTTGGTTTTGAGAGAGGAGTTTTACTGTGTGAGCATGGAGTTAAATATGGAGGGATGGGAGGAGTGCAACATCGAATTAATATGGTTAATGGAACCACCAAAGTTCTAAATATTTACGATATAAACTTGAAATCCATGCCTTTACAGGTTAAATCTTGTATTGCATTTTACTGTATTATTATGAAAAAGTCAATGGAAAGTATTTGTGAATTATTATGCTGTTACTTACCTCTTGACTCTTCCAAGAACGTTTTTGTTTTCTCTTCCAGAGTTCCTATCTTTATCCCTTCTCCAGTGGATAGTATAGATCTGTGATTATATGATCTAAATGGCTTATTATTCTTCACTGTTAATGCATTAAGTTGTTTCTATTCTACATTCACAATTGCTGTAACAAAGTTTCAAATACTGCATCTTGATAGATGCACTCACTAAGAATCTTTAAATTTATTTAGTTCTGCTAAACTTTGTGGAATAATGTACTGAACGCTCTGTGGAAGCATTTAAGCTGGATGCTTGAGGTGTGAGCATGGCACAAGCCATACGCTCCATGACTCAATGCGATATTTACAAGCTAAATGGAATTATTTAGCAGTATTTCTTTTTTTTCATAGCCTTTCATGTCCCCTCGGTACCCTGGAGGACCAAGGCCACCTTTAAGAATACCCAATCAGGTAAGATTTTATCACTGATGCACCATTGTGGTCCAGGGTGATGGTGCAGGGGTGGGAACAGGGTATGTTGTCTTGTTGGCTGCCAATGGCTTGTTGGCTACAAAACTCACTCAGTCCCTCTCGACTCCATTTTATCTGACCATTAAACAGTTATTTTGATAAGGTGTGGCCATGCCACTCCCAGGTCAGTTTACCATGCTTAATTAGCATCTACACCTCAAAATTTATTGTGTGTTAAGCCTGTTTGCACAGGGAGGATATAATTGGCTTGTGTTGTGCTGCATTAACCTCACCAGCCAATGCTGCCTGCACTGGGATGAAGGCAGAATGTCCCCATAACTGTTACACTTTTTGCTGACCACATCAAGCAGTTAGCTCTGAGAATTTTGTTACTTAATTCTACATAAAATGCATCACTCCCTTCTATTCTTTCTTGGATATATGAAGTATATTTATTTCATAGTAAATATGGAGATTATTGGTGAGAAACAGATATCATGAAGTGCTGTATGACTATTATAGGCACTCTGAGGACTTTATGAAAGCATCGAATTCCCAATTTTCTCTCGTCGCGATCAAAGGATATGCATGCCAGTATAACAAGAATGAGTAATGAGCTGCTGCTCGTCAGCAGAGACCTTTATTGGCCCATCTGTGAAAGATGGTTCTGGAAGCAGATAGCATTTGTATTTTTAAGTTCTCCATAGTGCAGATAGAGAAGGCGGTTGTCAGCAGATGAAAAGTTAAAGATAAGCAGAGAGAAAAATACCAGTGGAGCTCTGAAAGAAAAACTGGGTCGTTTACAATATTGGGAAAGATTGATAAGATAGAGGGAATGGGTGTTTTGGTCCAACTTAGACTTCCAGGACTGCCTTTCTTGTTGTCACAGCTTGATGAGGAGATTTTTATGCCTCAACCTGGCATTTTTTCTGGCTATTTTTTATATCTGTATAACACAATGTCAACAAACTTGTCTTTAGCACTGGTACAATATTGCCAGAAAGTATGAAGTTTAAATTTTAGTGAGCTGGATATCTCAGGTGGCAAGACTTCTTCAGATATTCCTCTACATCAAAGATGGTGGTGTTTGGGAGCAGGTTAAGTTACCTGTACCATACCCACTTTCTCATAAGAGAAATGTGTGACTTAATTAACCTTGCTGAAGTGATCATCAAGGGACAAGAGTCCAATGTCATTAGCAATTTAGTTAAATACTTGCTACAGACATACTGTAACTCAGTACAAAATGTCTTCCTGATTTTTGCACTTTTACATAATATCTTAGCCAAAGATACACTGCTGTTTGGGTTTCACATATCCCTTTGTTTCTCTTTCTATGTTTCTAAATACTGTAAATACTGGCAGGTAGAAACTGGATGTGGTGAGTGCTGTGAAAGCACTGCCAACCTGCAGTTTTATTTTCAGAAGTGTTTTTGTCTGCACATTGTGGTATTTTCAGTTCAGAGCTGTAACATAATCACATAATCTCAGAGAATTACAGCTCTTGCAATTCATTTACATTACGCTGCATTCATGAATTAGTGCTTTTAACAACACTGCCATTATTTAAGTTACAGTATAGCTGGGCAGTGTGTGGAAGTAATAAACTATTGTAGTGCAGGTTTGAGGATGAAATTTTGAATAGTAAAAGTCAGTAAAAATCAGAGTTAAAATTCCTACTGCAACTATAACTCTATTCCTTAATGCCTTGCAATAGGGATTGTGTTTCTTAGGTAAAGAAGGGTAACACAGGGCATGCGTGCACAGCACAGTCCAGTGCTGTGTAAGGGTTATCTGAGCTAGATCTAGGCTTTGTAGCAAGAAAAGTTAGTACCTACCAAGTGCCTCATGAGTGCCCCTAAGTTTTCTCGAGTGCTCAATCATGTCCTACAAGATCAAGCCCTACAAGGGTATTTACTGTTGGCAATGCATTGTGCTGTGCAGGTACACTTGTTTTTCTTGAAAAGCGGTATGACATGTTAGAAAGGAACAGCAGTCCCTCATGTAATGATCTCCAGTGTAATGACTGCGTGAGTTAAGTCTTCGGTCGCATGTGCTCAGAGCAGCAAATGCCTCTGTGTCCTTACATGTAACTTGCCATCTCTGGCAGAAGTGACCAGTTCCTGCTTTGCCAGTATTTGATGGTTCTCTGTGCACTTAATGTATTGTTCTTATGTATCGCCCAGACTTCAAGCCACTGAAGTACATGTAAAACTCTGATTTAAATGATGTTGTCTCAGATTATTTGTTTGTTCCATTAATCTTGCAGTGAGTACCTTTTGACTGTATTACCTTTGAGGTAATAATGTGCATCTTAATTTTGAATTTCCTACCTCTTGTGGAAACAAACTGTATAATATTTGCAGATAGTTTCCCCTTTGTAAGTATCCAAGACCACTACAGTATTTCCAGGTCAAGATTAACTTATCCATTCCCACAGTAAGCAGTACCTGTATTGCCTCAGTAGATTACATTCATAATAACAGATTTACTCATGCTGGATACATTTCTACTGAAAATGTGGTGCTGTTTTGAAATGCTAAATAGCACCTAATGGATCAGCTACAAAGATTGATCCATAAAAGCATTTTTCTAGTTGGCTGAACTATAGGTAAGAGACTGTAGAAATTAGCCTTAAACCTAATTCAGTTACTATAAACCCAAAGGGCAGATTCAAATGTGGGGACATAAAAGCAATGCATTTGATTTGGACTAGAGGTGAAGTAGCAAGACAATGTACCTTCACTTGCAAGATTAGGAGCGAGTTTTGTGACTGTTGTTATCTCCCATAGATGAATAATAAGCTTATCTTGGCATTGATGCCCTTCAAGAGTAAGGCAGAGTGGAAGATAAAATGTCCCCCACATCACAGCCCTAATTAACTGCACCTTGTGAATGCTGTTCAGTTGGCTCAGTTATGTCTCACTCTCAGAGAATATTGGTGTCTGCATCCTGACCTCTGAAAGGAAATGTTAAAATAATGGTTAAAAGGGAAAACTGTGGCAATATAAGCTTTGGATAAATTGCCACATACCTAAGGAAAAGGCAGTATTTGGAGGTTAAATAATAGGTAAGGTAAAGTGAAGGAAGTATTGGGGGGGGAAGCAAATTAGGCAATTATATTTTGGAGATTATTTATACGTAATTCCACAAACGTCCAAGAGTTTGTCCATGCAAATCCATAGTAAGGGTTGTAGGACATTCAGTACTTTTAGTTTAGTTAGGCACTTGGGACATTTAGTTAGGGCATTTAGGAAAGTTAACTCTTCCACATTACTCTTGACTCAGAAGAAACATGCGGGAATTAAAAACAAAATATCTGCACTATGTCTTTAACATAAATTTCAAAGCATTATATGCTTTTAACATATGGTTTCTATGCCTGCAGGCACTTGGAGGTGTCCCGGGAAGTCAGCCATTATTGCCTAGCGGGATGGACCCAACACGGCAGCAAGGTAAATGAAATAATCATTTGGTCTATTCAAAAGTTTTGTCTTCTCAAACTTGCGTCTTTCTTTCTGTGTTTCAAACCTTACTGCAGCTTTTTAAGCTTTTTGTTAATTAAAAAGGAATTATTTGTTAAAGTCATTTTAGAAGGTGCTTGTATATTGCGTAGTTTTTTACGTTATATAAATTTATTTGCAGGGCATCCAAACATGGGTGGGCCAATGCAGAGAATGACTCCTCCAAGAGGAATGGTTCCGCTAGGACCACAGGTACCTTCCCCAGATTGATACCTGTTGTTATTGATAGGCCTATACTTACACTATGTTCCTCTGGCTTTCCACAGCTTGAAGATGGCCAGGACTTGTTCTTCTAATCCCATTTTGAAATAAACTTTCTGTTTTGCAAAAACTAATTCTGAGTTGCAGTTTTACAAAGTCTAAAATGAAAACATCAGTCATTTTAATTACGATTTGAAATTAAAAGAGAAATCCCTTAACTTGCTTATTTCAGAAAAGTTATGTTTGCCCTACAGCCAGTGCATGTTGTAATCAAAGGCTGACATTTGTAAAGGAGACGAAGGATTGAGTAGGTGTTTCCTCATCTTCCCAACCTAACTGATCATGCTATTTAGGAGGAAAGGATTAATGCTCCTAGCTTAGGAAAACTCTTTGTACCAAAAGTACCCCCCAAAATTATGTAAAGTTTTTCTTTCATCCACTAGTGATCTAGATTTTTGGTGAGTGCTAGAGCAATTTTAACGTAAAAGGAGAAGTTCATGCTGCCATTTCTCCCCCTTGTCAATCACAAGCATCTTTCTAGCTCTGTTTTTGAGGAGCGAAGCAATGTTGGATTGCAAGAATCAGCCTTCTCCATGGTGCTGACCTGCTCATAATTGTTCATAGGCTCTTTCTTCAAAAGTGGGAAAATATGAGTGCGTATTTGTCAGTATTACATTTCAACAGTAAACTAAGGTAGAAAAAAAATTAGTTCTGATAATACCTGAAATACGAATCCAAAAGATTATTCTCTATTTTGTCAGTGCTCTCAGTGAGAGAAAATTTAAGTGGTAGTGTTTCATACCGGTATTGCCAGTATTTTGTTTTACAGCATGCTCATTGCGCCCACACTTTGCATTTTTACTTTCCCATTTCAGATAATCTCTCTAGTGACTTCTTTGTTCCTTGGAATAGCAACTGAATTTTAAATGATTAAATAGCTTTGCCTTTCAAACCTCTTCATAACTGTCTTTACAATTTTGGGTCTTCTTGGTAGAAACCAGTTGTGCAGTTCTACACAACATCTGTTGTGTGACCAACAAACCATTATTAAATACATTTGTTATTTTTTCTGTAGTATTGAACTGTATCTACCACTTGCCTTTTGGAGGTAGAAAGAGAAGCTTTGCAATGGTGCCATATGAGATTGAGCTGATATTTTGTGCAGCACCATTAGTCACACAGTAGGCAAATCTCATGCCAGTTTTTATAAGGACAATTTTTCCATTTTTGCTATTTCTTAAAATTCAGTATTTTTGTAAGGTTCTTCTTTCTTATACTGAACATCCTCTTAAAATGGGGAAAAATGTAGCTAATCACACAAAATTTAAGTTCACAAATCAATCTTTTCTCTAAGTGGATCATCTTCTATCTTTTGTATCAGCCATTTAGGATCTCCTCAGAATGCAGTTCTAAAACCAAATTTGATAAATCTTTCACAGCTACTTTTAACATCCTCTTGCTACAGTGCTGTAAAGTTGACTTAGCTGTGCCCATAATGGGAGGCCCTACTACCTTGCTGCACAGGCAGTCAACTTGAAAAAAACTTAAGGTGCTGATACAGAAATGCTTATGTCCAGTATAGCAAGTATAGCATGCATGTGCTTGAAAACTTACAGAAAATTTACCTCTGTTTTGTATTTTATGATTCTAGACTATTTCAAACTAAATAACACGAGGCAAAAAGCAGTGGATGGTTGTAAATGCTCGAATCTGTGAAAATCTCCAAAGAATTAGGTTCAGGCTTTTTTGAAGCGGTAGTTAGGCTAGATGAATGGGGTACTACTGCCAATCTGTGACCGACCGCTGCTTCTCCCTGTCCTTCATATCTGCTGGTGAGCATCCCACATGCTCCCTAATGCTTTCTAGTCAAAAACAATCGGGTCATCCTAAATACTTAAGAAAAATGTCTTGGCTAATCTGGCTCATTTTGGCCCCCTGGTGTTAGGGAGCACTTTTATGAACAACTCAACTACCAGATAAACAGTGGTGGTGGTGACTGAGTAAAAAGCTGTAAGGAACAAATTGGGGCACTAACTTCTGCAGAGAGCATAGCTGCAGCTGAAGGAACATGTATATTGGTAGCCTTAATGAAAGTGCTCTTATTTTAGGATGAAGGAGTATGTTTGATTAGAATTAGCAGTAATTAGAGCTAGAAGTACATTTGATTAGGATTCTTCCAGTCCTGCAGGATTCCATAGAGATCTTTTAACTCCGGTCCACACAAATGATTCCTGAATTAAAATAAAGAGGGGAGTTACCAGACAGACCAAATAGGGAGAATTGCTTAGCCCTCCACATCAAGATGGAAAAATGAAATAAAACAGATATGGAACTGCTGTTTTGTTACAGTCAGACTGTGTTCTCTTCCAGATCCAGTAGTGCCAACTGGGGATGTTACTGTGCCCAGCTGCTTTGACTACCCACCAGTTGCTGCCCTACAGTTCTGACAGAGGAGTTGCTCAGGCAAAATCATCTAGGATAACCTAGGTCAAACAGTAGCTTTGAGTTAATCTGGCTGACTTTCGCCTGAGCATGTGCACCAGTTGGTCTGCCGGCTGCACACAAAAAGGCAGGAATGAGTAGTGATTGATGACCAGGAACTGTGGATAATGCTGTCTTCAGACGGCACTGTTGGGTCTGAAAGAGGACATCTATTTGCAGCCTCTGGTTGTATTCTTGCAAACCAGCTATGAATGGGACACTTTCAGGATTGTTAACAATGAAGAAAATTTTAAGTTTTGTTTTTTTCTTTGCAGCAACAAAACCTCCTCTCCTAGTTATAGATCAGTTCTAGATCAATTCTAGATAACTGATATGTCATATCAGCCAAGGTAAAAACAGCACCAGAGCCACACTTCGAATATCACTGTTGGATTTCTCCCATGTATTCATGACTTCATGTTTACATGGTTTTGTGAATCAGACCAATATAGAGAACACCCATAAGCATGAATCATAGGGTTTATGCAGTTTGTAGTATACTGTACATGAAATAGAGTGTATTAGTTTTATTATTGGAAAATAGTATGCAACAATGACCTAAATTTTTTTAAAGTAAATTGCTTCTTTGTGCCCCCCTCCTTCCAAAATGTACAGCTATTCATTTTAGAGAATTTACTATTATCCATTCTCTTGAAATATCAGAAAAATGTAGCAGGATTAACACAGATTAGGGAGTGTATTATGACTGTGAGGTGAGATAGACTGTTCTGCTTGTATTCCTCTGAATAGAAATAGGTATAATTTAGTTTTTCATGCAAATAATACAGTTAAACTTTTGTCATTATATCAGAACATAAACTCAGATTTTATAGGCATTGGGCAGTTCATTTGTTAGCATCACTATGGCATTCATTATCATATGAAAGACTTTTCATATTAGTTACCATAGACTTATTGGAATTGACTGATTAGAAGACAAATGTAATGGTTATGCTGTATGTTATAAAAGTGATATCATCAATTTTATACAAGCATTTATTGATACCCTAACAAAATCTAATTTAAAATAATTCTATTTAAATTCCATAATGTAGAAATCTTAGAATCTAAGTCCAGGTTTCTGGTTTTGAATGAACTGCCTTGATATAAAAGTTGAATACATTATAAAACTTGCCCCTTGCTGGCCCTTGACTTGACCTCTATATGTGTAAATAATTCCCCCTGAAGCAACTGACATTTTAAGTATTCTTAGTCTATTTCTATTGTTTGCAATTCTTTCTCCTTGGGGATAACAATATTATTTTTTGAAGTCAACAATGGAAACTCCTGAAAGAATGAATTACATTGGCCTATCCAGTCAGCAGTTATGTAGGGATATCATTAACCTGCTGTCCTTTCTTTCCCCCTCCTCTTTGGTTTTGTTTTTTTGTTTTGTGGTAGTCTGACCCTTGGTTATCATTGCAGAACTATGGAGGTGCAATGAGACCCCCACTGAATGCTTTAGGTGGCCCCGGGATGCCTGGAATGAACATGTAAGCACAATAATAAAATCTTATCATATTTAGAAAAATCATTATTTCATTGTAGAACATTTGGGATACACAAGACAAGAAGAACATTCTTTGATAAGTAACATGCTTTGATGACTAATAATTGCAATTTAAAAAAAGCGAACCCACAGCAGTTTCCTTCTTCTGCATGCATCTCTTAGAGGCACCTTTGCTGTCCCTACAAATCTGTACAAATGCTCAGTTTCTTTCACAGGTCAAAGTTCAAATATTGGAAATATTTTGTCAGTATAGTCACTGATATATCCTTGTGTGCATTTTTTTAAAAAATGACATTATTTACATTTATGTTTTTACTTTACTGATTAAATATTTTGTAAGGAATAGTACAATAATGGGTCTTTTCTGCAAAATAAAGAAGTACTTAATTTTAGCAAAATAAGACAATTGTATAGAACTATTTTTAAAAAAACACATATTTGAAAGAAGAAGTGTGGATGATTCTCTCTCTCTTGCTGTTTTTATTTCCATAACTACATTTGTTTCCACTCTAAACAGATAGATGAGTGTTACAGATATGAGTGTAAGGTTTTCAGTGTTTCTGGGACTGGATCATCATTTAGTAAAAACTGATAGACTGATTTCAGTTAAGCTATACTGATTTATTCCAGGCATGGATGTAGTCATGGGAGCGTGTTATGCCTTTTATACCTGTAGACTACCCCCCTTTCTAAGTGCGCAGAAAAATTTCACATGTAAAATTAGCGTATCCAGAGTGGACTAGATTTAAGCTGAGGATTTTAGCATAGCAAGCGGCCCAACATGAACAATCTTGTGCACTTCAGATAAATCTTTTGCTTGCTTGGAGTTGCTTACATGATTAGCAAGCCTGGGAAAAAAAAATGAGGTGGTTCTTGTATTATTTAGATTTCTCACTAAAGAGATTCACAAATTTTAAGGGGCTGCTATAGTTACCTTTATAGCATACTAGAGACCAGAGATTATCAAGTCATTCTTGATTCATGGGCCTACCCATACTGAAGTTAGTACATTTTTTTATAACCAGCATTTTGCAGACTCTGGGGTGGTCACAGAAGGCAGCATGGTGATCTAGCTATCAAGACACTAGAATGATTTTACAGCCTACATCAGAGAACATGTTTTTTTTTTTTTACTCCTTTTACACTTTTGTCTTTCAAGAATGAGTTTTCAGCAGATTGACACAGAAAACACAGTGAAGATTTATATATGCTTGTTATCATTATATCATAGATGCCCATTTTTACTCTTATTTTTATAGGAAACATAAATGAGAGATGGTAATTTTTATTTCAAGTAAGGAGTTACCAGCCTGGAAAAGTAAAAGAGGTGTTCAGATAGATAATACCGTTGAAAAAATATCTAATCCACCATATCCTTAATTTCTTCTGATTTCCAGACATACCTTGAATTCTTGAAGCAGATAAAATAAAATATAAAGTTGGGTGTTACTCTATCATAGACATCATATATTGGACTCAAGACAATTCTAGGAACCTTCCCAAGGGTAGGCATTTTTTTTAAATAAAACTGATGTAGAAAAAATGTTTAGATACTTGAAATTCAGTGTGAGTATAATATAAGCACTACAGCAATTGTCCTCAGGAGGAGGTTGAATTATAAGAAAAGAAGATCAACTTTATAAAATAAAATGTTCTAGAAGTAAAATTGAGGATAGATAAGGTATTGTAGAGGCTACTTATCCACATAAATGAGAGTTTACACAGGAAAAATAAGAAAATGGGTTCCTGGATGACAAAAAGAATTCCTGGTCTGCCAGAAAGAGAGAAGATGGGTTGAAATACTAACATTTCCTTATTGCAGCATTTAATAAACACATTTCATCTTTTGTTGAGCCAGTAAACATACACAGATCATGTTCTTTTAATTCAGTGATGTGGGAGGTGCATTTTCCTTTGAACTTCTATGTCCTCTTGAAGGGGACACCATGAACTGGGGTCCTTTACTTGGAAAATTCATGAACTTTGATACAGTATATGATCTTCTGAGAAGAACAAGATGTGAAGCAATAATTACGAAGTAGGCAACCATAGCTGTCTCCATGTCTTACCAGACATATACTGCACCCACTTATATTTTCTTAGAAACTCATCTTTACTCCAGCTCAGCTGAAAGTGGGAACAGAATACTCTTTCTTGGTTTAGAACAAGACTTCGTACTGTCCCTTTGCTTATTACAATGCACTTTAAAGGCCTAAGAGAGTCCAAAGTGCTGGTACTGGAATATTATGCTACAGCATATCCCAACCTGTGTTACATGCTGAATCACAGACTGTTGCAAGGAGCTCCATTATTGTGTGCCTGACTACATGAATAATTTTTTACTGTCAAACTGAGTATTTTTTTTTCCTCTGTCAAATGGAGTGACATATACTGATGAAAAGGAAAACAAAGGTTATTATGGTCTGAGTTTCTTTTAATTGTATTTCCAGGACATCAGGTTTTTTTCTTATTGTAAAGTTACTGCTGTCAAAGTTGTCCTTACACCAAAATCTTAGTGGAGACTCCTCCTCTGGTCAATTCCAGCATTCAGGATCAGTCAGGGTGCATCCAAGGATAACCTGTTGGCAATGGCAATAGATGGACCCAACTGTGTTAAACATGTTCTTTATATTTTCCCTTACAATTTACCTAATACACAGTGCTAAGAAATAACAGCGTACGTTTCTAGGATAAAGGATAACTATACATAAGGCTTTTGCCTTATAGTAATGTACATTTGTTTTTGCATAGCCATATCTTCTTCTTACATGAAAATTTTTCAGTGTTCTCTTCAATGTTTTTGGCTTTTTGGCAATGTTAAAATACAAAAATGTGTACTCTACAAAAAGAGTTGCCATTTAAAATCCAGCTTTTTCTCCTCGGAAAGCACAAAAGGAAGGTGTTTTGATTAAAAGCAGAATATCTGCTAAATATAATTTTACATTTTTCTGCATGAAAAAGTGTTCTTTATTGTCAAAAATGGCAACAAGCAGCTCGAGAGCTCATAGACAGTATTTCAGACCAGGAGCATATACTCCACAAAGGTAGTACTCCTAAATAATCGCTTGCTCTGTCATAACTAATGCCTATCAGATTACTGTTTGAAACAGCTGTTACATATCCTGTGTTCTTCTACAAAATAACTTCATTTTAGCTATAAGGTTTTAAGTTGAAACTTGGTGTAGCCATTTTTAGTAAGATTTTATTTCTTTGTGGAAAAATGCCCTCTTTGGAACAAAATGGCAATCAGGGAGCAGTGTTACATTTCACTGGCACTTTTTAATGGCCCATGTGACCTGCAGTGCTGTCTCAAATGCTCAGAATATCTCAGTCATGCTTGAAAAGAAAAAAAAAAAAAGTGATTTTATTTTAACTTCAATTCACAAACTTGTGTCTAGATGTTTAATTTCCTGATTGAATATATTTGCCCCTTGGGAAAATAAAATTTTAGACTTTGTTTTTTCAAGTACTGAGATCAACACTATAGGACTAACTTTAAGGATAAAATACAGCCGTAATTAATGATAGTGATAGATACTTCATGAATGACTCTATTTTGGAATTGGTACATTCATAATAATGTTTTATGACTCTCTTGATGCTTCCAAAATAAACATTTAATAAAGGGCAAAAAAACTTTTTGCATTGCATTGAAAAAAATTGCAGGTAGCTTTTTATAATATGTGTTTTATAAGCTAACAACATTTGGCTCCACAAAAACCATATGGCTTTCCAGCAGAATCTGCTACAGTGTTTTCTAAGTCTATACTTAGAGCTGTCCATGGCTTCCAGTAAATTTGGAAATTCCAACAGCTTTTTAGATGAAAGGTGAGTTTCCCAGTCTCCTCGTAAGGCCTGTCTAAATTTCCATGTTGCTGTGGCTTAACCCAATCATGTATTTGAGTTGGCTTTGTAATAGCTCTGTAGTTCGGACTAATCTGCAGTGTCGTCACAGCTAGTTTCCATTTGATGCTTTTTGCTAGATATATTTGTGTTACTTAGTGTCACACAAACAAATGCAGAGTTTTGGGGTGAAGACAGACTTCTAACATTGTTACAAATATTCCTGATTTCTCTGAAAAAGAGGATCCAATAAGCCAAATATGGTACATAGGAAAAAGAAGATCTTTTTGGAGGGGGGAAAAAAAATTAACACATCATATTTCACCTTGTAATCATTAGCAGAGGAGAAATTGCTGAATATTTGACCTGAGGAGCACGAGTACTGTGAGTCCCTTTCCTTGCTTTGCCTCCCCTCCTCCCAATGAATAAGGCAGAAATGACCCTCACCTACATTCCTGTTTTACAACCTTCCAAAAATAATGTCAGCAGAAAGGAATCAGTTTTCACTTGAGTTGTTTCAGTTGATTATTTGAGATAATTTCTTTATAGTTTCATCAACAATGTAATAAAAAAAAATTCAATATTAAATCCCTTGGGCAACATATCTACTTAATAGTTTTTAGTTTTGCAAGGCTTTAAAATAGATAGAAAACTTCATGAACTCATTAATGAAGCCTGCTTTCTTTATATTTAAATCACTCTCCCATGTCTGGTAAGCTGTGGTGGCTAATGTTGCTTTTCTAAAGCTAATGAGGCCAAAATGCCCTTTTAAATGTGAAAGTTTTGTCATCTGCTCTGCCTCTCAGATGTCAGGGCCTTCAAAAAGTGATTTCATCTTATTTATAAATAACTAGGAGTTCTTAATGCACCCAGGAATAATTATGGTTATTGAGATGTTATGACTGTAAACATGGAGATTTTACCTCCCATATGGCTTAGTTCCCTCAGGACTCTTAAAAGACAAAGTCTAACCACCGAACTATTTTTTTGAGCTCAGCTAAGAGTGAGAAACTTAAAATAACAGCAAGAGTTGTGAGAAAAACGTGCTTTATCTGGACGTTTTTTGCTTTTTTCCTTTCCTCGTTCCCTTCTGCTTTTAGTACCCCTCTGATGTCTCATCTGAGTTGACTTTATCAAACAGGTCTTCTGCCTGTGAAACATTCTTGTCCCTCCTGCTGGGGAGCTGCCACTTAATCATGCATACACCATTTGGGCCAAGTGTAAGGAGAATGTCTGAAAAGTTTGAAATTTCCATTTTGCCTGCTGTATGGTTCTGTGACTTCTGTGGACATAATGAAGCCTTAGTCAAGTAGCAAACTGGTTTTAGATGCATATCTAAATATTTGTTTAAAGTGTATGTATAAAATGGCATGTTTTCAATTTTTAATACATGAGATTTATTATTGTTGTTATTATTATCAGATACAGGTTATAGCAACATATTTTCTGTGGCTTGTTCTTTAAAATAGGTTTTCACAAAACATTTATAGCATCACTTTCACTAATGAAACCTTACTATACTTGCAGTATTCTAGACTGATACTCAATAAATGTATGCATCTTCAATTCTTCAGGAAGGTACTTAATTATGTAAGCAAGAGTTCTGTTTCTATGACTGAAATTACACATATTTTAGTACCTTTCTGCCTTTGTCTGTACTGTAAGTAGACTTTTGTGGAATATGTGATACTTCCTCCAAATATTTTAAAAAAGGTTAACAGTACAAGGAAAAACACTCCTCTTGAGAACTTAAAGAATTTGGGAACTTGTTTTTTACTCTTTGCAAAACTTCCATGCCATATTAAAATGCTGTGTCTGTGTAACAGAGAGTTAAATTCTCCGTGAACAGAAGGAAAGCACTTCAAGAGACACAAATTTGCAATGTCTTTCAAATTCTTCCATTGACAATATAAAAGGGAAATGTCTGACACTTCCTAAATTGACAAGTGTTTGGGACTGATGCAAAACTGTAGCCTCTGGCAGTGTGGCTACTGGGGAAGGACTCCTTATGGTGCTATTCTGGCAGGTCCTGCCCTGAAGGGAACAGAAGTACCAGAATCAGTCAGGAACTGAATTGTCGTAAATGTGAGCGGCAAGGTTGTAATAATAAATAAATAATCATCTCATAAACTGATTAAATGATAATAGTAGTGAAACAGTGAGAATTTTGCTATGGCATTATAACTTGGTGTAGTTATGATTTATAAACACACTTTAATTTGAAAAAAGCCATCTCCTTCCTTACTCAGGAAACATTACTTTAATTTGGTTCCTCAGAGCTGGTCAGAAGACAGGGATTGTTCTGTGTCTCATCTTTCATCTTCTGTTACAGGGGTCCAGGGGGTGGTAGACCTTGGCCAAACCCAACAAATGCCAATTCTGTAAGTAAATATTTAAAATGTATTAGACATCGTCTTATATTTAGGGAAGTATTTCTCATCAATACACCAGGAAAAAAATTCCACTTCATTCAACAAATAGAATACTGCATGCTTTATATTTTTCCCCATAACCCTAATGCAGAGCAGCAACAGTGAGAAGCACATCTGAACAGAGAGCTCGTTGACCTGCAGATATCCAGCTCTGTTCATAATCCCAACAGCTCTGCATCTTTACATCAGTTACAGCACTTCCATAACACAAAGGTTATCCTGGGGTATATTTAAAATACATTTTAGCTTCCTTTAGCACAAGTAAGATGAGTTAGGTCAACGCTATCTGGCCAGAAAGCTCTACAGAAATCACAGCTTGTTAAGATACAGCTTAATGTGTATTTTACATAACAAAATCATATTTGCTGCTCTTAACTAGGGAATATGGAATCATAGAGCAATTGCTTGCAAGACATCAGCCATTTTTATATGCTTTTTGTAAAAAGCAGTGCACTCTATTGAATTTCATTGCAACAACTACAAAATGAGGTAGTCTAATAGCAGCTTGAAGGAAGATGAGGTCAGTGAGGCATCGCACATGAACAACAGTGTCTGGTATTCAGAAAACACAAAGGTAAAGTTTTCATTTTTGTTCAGTGATCATACATCATTAGTATAAAAATATGTCCCTTTTTAGCACTTGCAGTTGGATAAGATCGGTCTGGCTTAACAGACTCTCATGTTGTTCTTTGATTCTTTAATTCTACTAATGACAATTGGGGGAAAAAAAGAGTTGAAATTCTTCCTCAGTTTTCTTTTGCGTGTACTCAACTAAAATGGATGTTAGGATATTTTGCAACTGATATAGTTGAAATATTTTCATTCTATGAAATTAATTGAGAAGTCCAGTAAGAGATGGATCTGTAAAACTGAGTTGGCTGACAAGTTGTCTACAATCATGTAAGATGCTTATGGTACAAAATAATTTTGTTGCTTAGTTCTTACCCCATCATCCTATAATAGCATTGGTCCATGATCCTTTAGAGAGAATAATTGCAAAGGCTATCATAAACAAGAAAACCAGATTATTCACAGGCAATTGGATTTCTCCAGATACCCTCTGTAACAAATACCACAATTGAATTTGAAATTAAAATAGAACACTGTCCTTTTTAAAAAAAAAAACACATAATGCAAAGAAATAAAATTAATATCTTCTAAGGTGAAAGATATAAGAGAGTTGCTTTTCCTTTTATGGTCAAGATTTTAATCAAGACTAAGTATATATAAGAATGTACAAATTCAGTCCATGCTTGGGATGACTCTGAAGTCCTATTGACTTAAATGCAAGCATGTGCACTTATGTTTATAAACCTTATAAAGCATATTACCTTAATAATCTTATAGCTTAACCTTTTACTATAGACTATAGATCTTTAGAGACTTTATTGTGGCTCCCACGGTAAGAATAAGAAGACTTTTGTAGTAGATGCAAGAACTGGATTGGTACTGGACCTTGTAACTTGGTATCTTAGAAAAGTGATGCTGGCTGTTAAAAATGTATGCCTCACTTACTATGAAACAATAGAGGGCAAATATCAGACCTTAGCCTACAGACATTTAAATGTGTGAATTATGTTATTCATATTAATTTCATTAGAGTGGCTACCAGGGCACAGTAATCTTAAATGTAAATATTTTTATTTGAAATATTGGGTATTAAATTTGGTTTGTGTCTATATTGCTAGTTTTGGACTTGAACATACTTACAATGACAAACTGTTGAAAAGAAGAGGTGTTTGTTTTGGCAACAATAGCATTTTTCCGTAATCCTTAACTGTGTCTTTGAATTAAATTAAACAAGTGTTAGCCCACAGCTGAACATAAATGTGTGTACGGACTCCATCTCACTGCAGAAGAAATTACTGGTTTGTTTCTGTTGATATTGCAGATACCTTATTCTTCAGCATCACCTGGGAACTATGTAGTAAGTACACTTGTGTGTGTTTGCTTATTAGAGTAGATGTTACATTTTATTTAGACAAAGAAATAGCTGTCCAGATGTTAAGAGGAACCCTTGTGTATCGGTTGAGAACTAAACTTTTTGTAAAAAAAAAAAACACACCCCCCCCCCCCCCCCCATCAGTAGCACAATATTGTGTATGAGTTTCTGAACTTCTTCAGAAAAAAAAGCATTTGAAGAATTAGAACAAGCTTTTATCTCCCCAAACACATACAAATGGGTCCTTATAGCTCACATTTTAAAGGAATTTTTTTCTTATGATTACCTTCTGAAGACTTGAAAATTATTTTTTCTCCATAGTCTGTTATGTCTTCATTTCACAGACATTGTCTTAATTTATTATGAATTAGTTGGTATCATTGTTTTTTCTTAGTCTGTACTTCAGAGTGAAATAGTTAAAGCTTTGTAATAGGCCCAGCATTGAGCCGTCATTCAAAAGAACACAAAATGCTAACCCTCTCTCTGGAATTTAACAGATACACTTTACCTATTAACAAAATGTTTTTTGTTGGTGTATATACTGCTGGCTTTTGTCTCTATCCCGAGAGATTAACTTTGTTTATCCTTTTAGGCTCTTTATTGTTGTTGTTACTGTTGTACTTGGATTATTTGTACTTCTGATATACTCTTGTAAGGCATGTTGTTTTCATGTATTTTTATCACATGCTTAGTACTGGTGTCACAGGGTAACGAGGGAGAATGAATATATATATATATGTTGGATTCCAAATTTCTGTTGGTTGGTCAGGTTTTGGTAGACCTCTCCTTTGATATTGCATGTTTTATCACCTGAAGGTTAGACAGCTGCAGAGCATTGGCTTTAACCAGCACAAAACCTGAAGCAATTTCAGAATGTAAAACCAGCAGGTCCTTCACCATGCAGACAATATACTAGTGTTTTTTCATCTGTTTGTGCTGATTATAGGTTTCCCTTACTTTCAGTCTTCGTAGGAGAGGTGATCCTGCAGAGCTAAAGCTGAAGGATGAGTTCAAGGATGAGCTTGTTTTGTTTAGACAAAAGCAATTTCTTTTGTCCTTTATTTAGACAATTAGCTGTGAAAAAGGTTATGATTCTCATTAGTGTCCATAACTGTGGTACTCATTTTGCCACATGTTTAGTGGAAACAGTCCAAATGTGCTGATCTCCAAACCAGTTCTTTTAATCCAGAACTTCATAAATTTCTCTCTGTTGGGAAGAGGTTTTGTTGGTTTGCCCTAGACATTAGTGATCAGTTATTGTTGCAGATTTTGAAGATTTTTTTTGAATATTTGACTTCATATTCTCATTTTTTAAAAGTATGAAGTCCTGAGAATCTAGAAAAGGAGATACTATAGAAAATTACTTTAAAGAAACAAACCTAAGTAAAATGCAGGTTGTAGTAGCGAATTCTGCTGGTGTACTCATATCAAGCCACAGGTCAGCTGGGATAAATGACTTGGACAAAAAAGGGCATCACCATATTTCAGTGTATAGATAGAGGAGGAGTAAGAGTAAAGAGGTGTTTTTACCTCTTTCAGTGAAAATGATGAGACTGATGCTGGAATGGTGCATCTAATTGGCAACATTGAAGGGAAATCAAAAGATGTACAAAGATGCAAGAATGAGACACACGGAAGACTGAAGTATTGGAACCTCTGATCAGATGTGCTCTGTGAACTCCAGCTGTGCTAGTGGGAAAGGTTGCTGCCTGATTCCTTGTCCCCACTCTTCTGCTGAAGGTTACCACTCCTTCAGGTCTGCCACTGGAGTTCCTTGGATGAGTGACCCTCTTCATCCAAAACAACTGAAGTTGACTGAAGCATTTAAAGAACCAGGTCCTTGCTGAAGCAGTTCAGTTGACCGAAAATAGGTGGAGGGACACGCACAGAGAGAGCTCCAAGCAGAGCTGAGGCTGCTGCCAGCAGAGGATAGTGGTGGAACAAGGGTTGAAATCTTCTTCTGCCAACATAAATACTTGCACAGTGCATATCTTGTCTGATGCTGAGAGAGTAGTCTTGCTTCAGAAAGGCTCACCACATTTTGGAAAAGGAACACATGCACTCCAGCCGTACAAACAGCTAAATAAGCAAAACTGCTGGGCAGCAGCTTCCAAGAGAGCATTTCAGGACAAGGTGTGGGCTGGATAGCTCTTAAAAGCAGCTTTTTAGCCAAAGGATTTGTGATGTGGAACTACAGGCTTTGAGGACTTAATCTGGTTTAGTTTATCAGACAGGTTTTTGAGAAATAATTATATTACAAATATTAATGTATTCTCAGGGAGAAAATAGTTGATGCCAACAGGCTTTCTAAGAGAAGAAAATATACAAACAATGCAAGTAAATGCAATTTTAAACTTAGATACAAATGCTAATAGTGATAAGTAACTTTTCTAAAAAATTACCTGTTAGTGGTTTCTACACGTCTTTATGTAACGCTGAAAAATATATATAAACCTAAAAAAATCAGGTTGGTGAACTTAGTGCACAAGTACATGGGTAAAAAGTCATAGCCTGTGATATCCAGAGGGTCATATATGTGATTGAAAGGTCCCTTTGAATTTAGAGTCTGTAGCTCTGCAGCCACAATGGGGGAATTTCTTGTTGCTGAGGGCTGAATAGGCCCTTCAGACAGTTTTGGCAAGCCCAATCCTGACACATTGGATTCTAATTTTGGGGCAAAAAAACCTATGTGGCTGCTGGCAGTATGAAATGAAGTTGTGATTATGCCTTGATTTTTATAAGCTGATCTGTGGGTTTCGTGGTGGCGCAAGCCTTTATTCCATCATGCTTTATAAAAGATACTTAGCGACCTTGCTTAGTTCATGAACAAGGGGAAGCACAAGATAAAGAACTGGTAGGTGCTGTAACATAGAAGGGCATAGAGGTATATATATGTTGACTGACTGCAGCGATATGCTGCTGCTTCTGGGTAAAAGATTTCTGTTTCATCTACAATTAATTGTGAGTTAATCACTGGCTGGCAGACAGAGATACTTCCCCCTGCAAATATTTTACTTGTACAAACCTGGGGAGGAGCAGTATCAGTCAGAAAGCTGCTATGTTACTGAGTTTGATTGTCTGAAAATAGTGTTTGCTAGTATATTGTTGCTAAATGTTTTGTAAGAAATGTTATTTTAAGTAGGCCATTGAGAAATAGGGTCTATTGTTTTAAATCCAAGACTTCTCTGCCTACTCCCAAAGTATCTCAGTGAATTAGAGCAAATCTCAGCAATGTCCTTGTAAGCAAACAGGAACAACCAAACTTTTATACTCAGTGCTACTGAAAAAACATTGATATCTGGAACAGTATATCTGCTATTTTAAAACATAACAAAAGAGATAAAAATATAATGAGTCATATGGCAATGAAAATAATCATCTGTTGTCATGAATCTGTGTATTTTTTATTATGGAAAGTCAATATTTATTGACTTTTATTGGCACAGGTATTTTTATCAAACTGGAAGTTGGTAGTTTTTCCTGTTACTTAAATATATTAGTGGATCTGCAAACAGGAAACAAGGAGTTATGGTTCTGTTCTTACTAAATGGTTAGGATGTTTAGCATAAAATTCTTGGAGAAATTTTTAAAGAACCTTAAAAAGCTTGTTTAACAACCAGAGCAGTTTGTGTACAGTCCTTAGTCATAAACAGATTTGCAATATAGAATTACCTGAAAATAAGAAAATAGATGTTCCTTGATGGTTTGTTTTGATGGGTTTTATCTTTGATTTAGCAGTCTAGGCAAGTGATATGACTGTACTCCGCACTATCCTGACTTTTTTAATACATTTGTCATTAATTTGAGAAGAAATTATATACACAGATATTATTTTACAAAATTGTAGGATATTATATGGACAGAATTAAGATGCCTATGGTATTGAGATACCAAGTCTGCCTAAAAAAGAAAACTTTCTTAAGGTGATTAGGCTCTTCTGTCCCTATGGGACACCCCCTTGTTTTGCGCTTGGCAAACATTGGTTACTCTGCCATTGACTATGTATAGAGTACGACAAAACAGAAATGCCAGCTGAAAAGCCAGTGGTAATAAAAGTAGGTTGAGGGAATCAAATATAATTGTCCTAGGCCCTGGTCCAAGTATTTCTCTTGTCTGACTCACAGCATGACACAGAGACTAATGGATATTCTTGTGTCTGTATACCTATGTACATCAGAAGTTTGTGTCAGAGCTTGCTGACCAATTACCTTGTTTTAATCTGTGATGAACTGTTGTGCTAGCTTATCAGAAAATGTGCATCTTTTTACCAGAGTAACTCATGACATTCACGATACTTTTTTTCATTTGTACTGTGTTCATTTTTTACTGCAGTATTTTTTTCCTTTCATGCTAACTGACATTTTCTACCCTTTCTAGGGTCCTCCAGGAGGTGGAGGGCCACCAGGAACACCTATCATGCCTAGTCCTGCAGGTACTGAAATACACTTGGAAATAATAAAAAGTAATTGTAAAGGGTTTTAGGAAGTACACAAATAATTTTTCAGACTTCAATTTTCATGAAGAATCAGCTAATGAGAAATTATTAGATTTGTACTTTCTGTATCAGTTTTTTTCCTGTGCTTTCACTCTCTTTTGCCCCATGCTATGTTGTGGAGATAGAATAGATACAAACCATTATATCTGTAAAGTTCAAAGCAACTAATTTCTCTGGCTTTTGAGCCCATCTTTTCTTCTACAATTTCAGCAATAGGAAGGAAAAAATGAAAGAAGACAAGACACACTCTTCTATTTGTTTTTGCCATGTTCTTTGGGACAATTCCACCAGTTTGGAAATCGGGAGATTTCTGAATCTGGTGAAACTTTCACTGTAGTATCCTATGGGATAGACCTGACCAACATGTGGCTCTTAAGCGATACGCAACTCACAGGCACAGCTGCATCCCGTGGCTATGTCATCTGACTGATAGCAGGGCCATGCTGGACAGATTGCTCTCATCTGTCCTGCAGTGCAGGATTAAGGCCCAAAAGGAGCCTTTGTCGTGTCCTACCAGTGATCTGTTCCCAGAACTTCAACTGCCCCATTGTTTCCCCAAGTAACATGGTCTGTATCTTGCAACTCTGACCACGTGGAGATTTTGGCCATGCAAAAGATGGCCATATTCCTACTCAGGTTTGAAGAACCATGGAGGAGGATGGCAGGATTCAGGATGGCTAGCTAGCTTCTCAAGGCTTAAAGATGGTCAGCTGGATGTAAGTATTTCCCTCCATCAGTGTTCTGCAAAGATTCTGATATGAAGGTGGAACTGCAGGATGTGGAAGATACTGTCCTCCCCCATGGACAGCATCAGAAATATTCTAAAATGAAACTAATTATATCTCGTGTAACCCAGTGTTAAGTAGCTACTCCTTTTGGCCAATGTCTGCCTTTGTAACTCACTTCATCATCTGAGAGGGACTTGTTCACCTCAGTGATGTTACAGCATCCTCAGTCCTTATGTCCTACATGTTCACACTGTCCTCTACAGCACAAAAGGGCAGGGAAGTTTCGTAACGGGCCATGAAAGCGTCTTGCACCAACATAGTATCTTCATTAAATACAATTCCAGGGCTTTAAAAAAAGGCAACCTGAGATAACGTGTAGGGCTTCCTTGGTGTTCATATCAATAGTGGAAAAGGGAATTAGTGCCAGCTGGCATTTAAAAGTTAGAGCATTTTTTAACATAAAACAAACTTTTGGACAGCCTGCACTTTTAAAAATATTCAGCGTTGCAGTTATGGCACATATTAGGCTGTCTCTGTGTGGTTCAAATAAAGCTTCTGCTGACAGTTTTTCCCATTTTCAGTTAGATACTCAAACATGTTTTGAGGCGCTGTTTTCCAGGGTATGAGAACACTTAGAAATTGGCCACCTGAGAATTTTGCAAAGGTACTTACTTGCCTCTGAGACAAACAAGCTCCAAGGGTTCCCATGGCCCAGCTGACCCATATGTATTTTTACATGACCCAGCAAGAACATGGGGAGAGTCAGGGATGTGTTTTTCAAAAGGATCTGGTGGTTGAAGGACTTGTTGCCTACCTCATTGAACATTAAAAACAACTTCTTGTGTGCTAATTTTACTTTCATAACTTCAGGCTAAGAACTTTTTGTTCCCTCTCTTTCTCAAACAGCATATTTCAATGTTGTAGTGATACATAGTGCTCTGTATATAATGGAATTACTTACTCACCAAGGTTAATGAATGCCTAGAAAACTGTTTCAGAAGGATTAAGGAATAGACAAAGATCTTGATTTTAACTGCCCACTGTACATACAAATACATTCTTGCAGGAGGTCAGGCTGCATTCCCAGTTCCAACACATTTCAGTCTGGTCTTGACTTTCTTGCTTTCACTACTTCTGAGTCAATAGTTCCCCATCACCTTGTCTTGGAAAAGGAATTACAGCTCAGCAGTGGTTTTTGCATGTGTTGTTAATCTCAGAACTCTGGTTCAAAGATGTGGAATGGTCTTTTGGAGGAGCTAGGTACAGAGTACTAAGCTATTCTTTATTCTTTTTGCAAATACTATAGGTACTGTTTTCCAGAGTTGCCAATGCTTTTTTAAATCATGCTGTCCCCTTAGGAATGTATTTAGACTTTCCTTAGGTCATTCTCGTCTCAGTAAACTTTTTCATTATATGGCCTATTTTCAAGTTCCCTTGGGAAAGGTTTTTGCCTGATTTGTCTACTATCATCTGCTGCATTTTTTGCCTTCTCTTTCTTACAAATATTGATGAAGGGTGTTAAGACTTTGTGTGTGTTAGCAGTAGGGATAAGCTGGAGATCAGAATTAATAATTTGTATCTACTAATGGTTCTTAGGCATTGGTTTCTTAAGTTCAACCAGAAGAATTATGTGGGTTGTCTTCTATGTGTCCTGTTAATTAAATCTTGCACTTCAACTTGAGGTGCTCCATCTGAAAGTTCACATGCATTGATTGGAGGAAAAGGACTGAGATGCAATATAGCTGTGTCAACATCTGGCAAGGCCAAGTGAAACTCTTGGCAGAACTTACTGGCTTAGGCACCACGCCGTGCCAGGGTGGTTTTGTTAGTTTTGGACTCAGGGTTTTTTTGAAGCATTGCACCACGCTGTACCTTGAAGGTACATCAGCTAAAGGTGTCCTTAGAGTGAGGATCTTTGCACAATGTTCCACTGAATAATTAAATATATCCAAAATCAAATAGACTGACATAAACAAGAATAAAAAGTTTTCATTCACTGTACTGACTTGCAGTCTGCATAAGGAGAAGCTATTTGTCATCTATTACAGATGGAAGACAAATTACAGGAAGTATTAATAAGAAAGAAACTCCTGTTTTATAGAAAATATTGAAGATGAGTGAAATAATTTGGAACTCCAGGAAAAAGAGTTTATGGAATTAAATAGTTACAGATACTTCGTGATTTATAGACCTTTTAACAGTCATGCATAAAACTAGAGTCTAGAAGTAGACACTTAGGGACCATTGCAATTATTTCTTTTCATAGCTCTGTTGTGTGGTAGCAATAGATAGAAAGGGAATGAAATCTTCCATTATATTGCCACTGTGTATCAGTGATTCAGGCACAGAAATAATATGAACAAAATGACAGGAAATGTATTAGGTGAGTAGTTTTATTGAAAGGTATATATTAGCACTTAAAATAATCTCTTATTACAGATTCAACCAACTCTGGAGACAACATGTACACTTTAATGAATGCAGTACCACCTGGACCCAACAGACCTAATGTAAATATGAATCTGGTTACATACTTCTTTGAATTGCACAACCTTTTTTTATCCAAACACTATGTTTCCATCACATATCATTAATACTAATTTCCATTTTTATGGGTGATACTTCAGTTGTTTCCCCCCATCATGTACTTTTTAATGTTTCCCAAATCAATCACAATACTTGCAAAATAATGATTGGGGCATATTCTTCTACATGCAGAAGACCTTAGAAGCTTTTGCATATGGATCTTGGGCATGACTTAATTTGTCACACTGCAGTGCATTAGACTCCTGTGTGATAGGATATCACCCTAGGAGCTGCCACTAAGCATTAGTTTCTGCAGGATTCAAACTTCTATTATAAAAAAGTATCTACCCTTGAAAAGGGAGGAGAAAATTGCTGAAAGTGACCCAGTGTTATGTTGCCCTGATGTTCTGTAAAAAAGGATAAAATTAATACCTCTAAGAAGAAACAAACTTACCTGTTTATCTAAATGGGATGTTAAGAATTAAACCTATTAATAACATTTAAATATTTTCATAGTGAACTAGTTAAGTTGTGACTATTCTAGCCTAAATTTCACTGGTTCTAGTAGTGACAAAAATCTGGATTCTTACATAGAACTTGTTTGTTCTCTGATCTTTCTTTATGCCTTCAGCTTTATTGTATTTCCCTGATTACAACCATATTTCATTCAATCACAATCCACATTATGGGCCTTTTGAAAAAAAAGGCTGGTGGAAATTAAAAATATAGATATTTAGATATTGCTAAATCATTATACAGTAATTTTAGAAATTTTTTTATAATGTTATTGTCTTTAAGTTTTTTAAGAACTAAATTCAAGGTTAATATCAGAAATTGGACAGAAACTGCTCATGCTGCAAAGGTAATGCGGAGTAGTCTGATTGTCAGTCTGGATAAGGTGGGGTTTGAAAGCTCTTAATTTATCACTTACTCACTGAAGAAAATCATGAAGTTCCCTGTAACTTCAATGTGAGTAGAGCTAGGTCAGCACTAGCAGGTTTGAAAGTCATGCACAAACTGTGGAAGTAAATAATAAATTATTCCTAAGTTATATAACAGAGGTGAGAGTTTCCAAAAATGATGAAGGTAGCATTGGAAAAAGTGAACAAAAGCAATGATGTTTTTGCAGTCTTCACATGAAAGACTTTCACTTGACTTGCGCATTCAGAGCTGGGACTGTGCATTTTTCCTTTGCCTTTTTTTTTTTTTTCCTGAGGAATATTTTCTTTTTATTAGATTATCTACAGAAGATTGTACAGTAATACCAGTTTTTAATGTCTGATCCTTTTGTAGTTTCCAATGGGGCCAGGGTCAGATGGACCTATGAGTGGACTGGGTGGAATGGATTCACATCATATGAATGGATCATTAGGTAATGATAATAAATATTACAAACATTGTGAATTTTCAATGAGTAGTGCCATTTTCTATGACTAGTTCTTTCAGTTGTGTGGAAGACTGTATGTAAAAATCTTTTCAAAACTGAAAAAGCTGTATATACATCAGTAAGAAGTATTAAGATACTTTTTAAGCATATGAGTTGGCATACATCATGCACCTCTGGAAGAAAAATACCGTATTTTATTTATATAAGAGAGTATAGTTTTGATCCAGTTGATGAAAACCAATCTAAAAGCATACCGTTGCAGTAGTGTAGAGGTGAAGGCTTAAGAACCATTTTTATTTACCTCTCTTCCTCTTTGAAAATCTTGGGAAGGTGTCATTGTGACATGCTGGTGCACGTTCTTATCAATTACCTGGAAGTAAGTTATTACATATTTTGATGTATGTGTTAAAGCTGGTTTTATCCCAACATTTTGATACCCTCATTTGTTCTATGCTTAGCCATATGTCTGTTAAGTGTGAGTATTATTACTCTGTCCCCATTAGCAGCTTCAGATAGGTGCCAATCTCAATGCATCCAAAAGAACATGAATTCTTGCCAGGGCATGCAGAGGCAGGAGGAACAGTGTACTGCTTGACTTCTGACATTGTGATTTTTGGAGGACTCTTATCTAGGGGAGAAGCCTTGCACAACTCTGCAAAACACACATCTTCTGACTATCCTAGCAAACTCTTTGCTCTTACCCTTTGCTAGAAGCATGACACTTGAAAGGGATTTAAGAAACAAGCGACAGCTAAATAAATTGCATTTATGCCTTCCTCTTCCATACCCACAAGGTAAATAAATACCTTGTTTTTATTTCTGCTCATACCATTACACCAGGCCAGTAGCTCTGAATACAGTTCTTGTGTTGTACTCTTCACTTCTGTCTGCACCAAGGTGTGTCAGGTCATGCAGGCAACAGCAGGGGGAAACCTCAGGCTGCAAAGACTTCTGATCTCTTTCTTCTTCTATCCCCCTGGTCCACCAGCAAGGTTCATTTTTCATATGGGAACTGGCCTGATGCCGACAAGGGGCACCAGCAACACCCTGCTGAGCAGTGTTTTCCTTTATGGGGAGAAACCCAAGCAAGCAGGTCAGGCAGGCAGAGGCCAAGCTGCCACTGTTCCCCATGCTTCTATCCCCAAAGAAAAGTTCTGTCAACTTCCCAGCACAGGCACAGACCAACCTAAACTCCATACCATTTAAGTCCATACCACCATGGTAGGTGGCAGTCTATCACTTGTAGCCCAAAAGTTGGAGTTCGTGAGACAGTAAGTTTAAATAGGTAAGAAGAAGGGAGAAATTTGAAGAGGCTATGACAAGATAAGAAAAACCTAACATCAAACCTCATTTAGCAGACATGTTCTGAACAATTAAAATTCAGCAGTAGGCATCTATCTCCTAATAGAATTATCTTTTTTCCTAGGAAAGCATGTCTCTGAAACTCCTAGATTACTTTGCATAAGGACACCTTATGATTTTACAGCCTTTCTTTACATAGTACAATCCTAAAATGGATTGTTGGTTTACTTAATAGTGATGCACATTACATTCAAATAAATGAAAAACTGTGTAAAAGGTAATCACATCTTGTTCTCTCACTTTCCATAGCCTGAGAATTATTTCTTAGCTAAAATAAAACATTAAATTGAAACAGTTAAAGAAGAATTTTACATGTACATAGCATTTGGTTAGTTGTTTTCTCTATTGAAAATGATGATGTGCTTAGTCAAATTAATGATGACTGCTTTCTAGGGGTAACTTCATATCTAAAGTGAAAACCAAGTTCTTTTAGTAGAGGAGGGCTGGGAGAGATGTGCTGCATTCATTTCCATGCTGCAGTAGGCAGCTGTGTCTCATAATCAGATGGATAAATCGGTCAAGGTCCATCTTGAACTTCTCCAACTTCTTTGACCACAACCCTTGTATTGGGTATCTGTTCATAGCTCTGATGGTCAGAAAGAAGTCTTTCCCTGATTTCCACCAAAGTTTATCCTTTGGGCCATGACAGAATGACTTTTCGTAACATTTATGTATCTGATGTATTTATAGAGAGAAATCATGTTCCTTCTCAGCCTTAATTTGCCTGGCTAAGTATAGTAAGCTATTTCAGTCTCCTCCCACAACTCCATTTTCTTGACTGTTTTTCTTCGATGCTCTTCTAGTTTTGTATTCAGTACTCTTCTAGAATTTGTCTTTCCTGAAAATAGGTGACCAGAATTGTTTACTGTCTATTGCTGCTAAAAATGCTTTTGATACATCCATCCTAAAGTTATATTTCCTTTATTCTTGGCTTTACCTGAGTGAGAGCTATAGCATGTGAAAAAAAAATTCTTTTCAATAATCTTGTACTCCTTATATTTAATTTTATTTGGTATCTGTTACTCTGGTCCTCAGGATCATCTGCTTTCTTCTGAAAGGTACTGTCATCATCAGTATTTGTAATGCGTCCAAAGTTGATGGCATTTCAGCCAATTTCAGTAGTAGGCTTCTGCTTCTGGGAGCAAAGACATTGATGAAGCCCTCACAGCTGACCTTAGAGATAGTCCACTGCTGGGGAGTTTTGAATAGCTGAAGTTCAGTAAAAATAGTGGTCTTTTTTTTTTCCCCAGGAACATCAACTTTTAGTAGTTTTGCATTATTTTCCTTTTTTTTCCTTGAGCTGACGCAACATTTCCCATAGGTGGATATACCCTAGATTGCATTACCTACCATGGCTAATAGGACAGGGAGGCTGGACATAAGGTTTCTTGACTTGTGCTGGGCTGTCTCATCCTGACAGGATGCCATCCAAATAACTGATACAGATCAGAAGTGTGTCCTTCATTCTTTTCTCACTTTTTGTATCAGGTGTGTACACAGAGAAAGGACTAACATTATTCAATACTGACTGTAAACTTTTACTAAAAGAGACATGGGGAAGGAAATGAGATGTTGCATCATTGGTTATGTTTTAAAATATTGCTGTTACACTATTTACTATGAAAAAAGTTCTTAGATTAACTTCAGCTCAAAACTAACTGAATAATTGTCTATTTTAATTTAAGGCTCAGGAGACATGGACAGTATTTCCAAAGTGAGTATCTAATCAAATATTTAGAATTTTTAGAATATTTCATTCTAAACATACTTTGTTTGTCTCTGTTATGAAGCTTTTCATTACGTGTCTACGTTTTCTACTTGCCAACTCTTTGGAGGCTATGCAGACAGAATTAATATTACTTGAAAATGTAAAAACAATATAATCAGTAGGGAGTGTAAGTAGACTTATTTCCTACTGCATAATAATGGGTATTAATGAATGTGATTAATATCCAGTTCATAATCGGATTGATCATATTATAATCTTCCATACTGTTAAGACAAATTAATATAGTTCTAATAATCAATTCTAGTTAAATGTAAATTTGGGAAAATGTCATTAGGATGTTACTTTTATGTGCTGCATGATTGCTTTTGTCACCTCTGAAAGGAAATGTTAATATCTTAATCATTACTGTAAGTTCCTAAAAGCTAGATTAAGAAGTAGTTTCAGAAGAAGCACTGTTTTGATATCAAAGCATTAAATAGCATAGTAGAAATGAATGTGAGCTTAACCTGCAGGGGTTTTGCATCTAAGAAAATAATATTGTGCTTGAATGTGTCACTTCTTCCATTAAAAAAAAAAAAACTACTACATATGTGATCATCATTAATTTAGGAATTAATGATCTTATTTGGTATTGATAAAGTGGCATAAATCTGTCCCCAGCAAAACACTATGTTTTGTACTCAGCATCTTCAGATGTAACTGGCTGAAACTAATAAATACATCACTCCAACAGTCTCCCTGCACTTTCATGCTTTTGATCTATAAATACAGAAATTGATGAAGAGATTGTTCCAGTTAAAATTTTATAACTCATTCATTTGTAGCAAAATTCTTAACAATCTTCCAAGAAAGGAGTATGAGTCTGTTTTGAGCGTATCAAGTGCCAGTGTATTTTGGTTGCCCCAGGACCAAGTACTGCAGTGCTGTCGCTAGATCTCTCCCAGTGCAGACTTTGCCACTTCAGATCTGTCTAAGGCTGGTCTGCATGTGCTCCAGTCACTCTAGGGACCTTGCTCTAGGTCTGTGCTCAGGAGCTATGATGAGATGCCAACACGTAGGGAACAAAATGCTCACCTAAATTCCCATGGGTTAGCATAGAAGTTTGTAGTGTGAATTTGTTGAGAATACTCTTCCATGTGTTCAGAAGGTAGGAATCATTCTTCACTTAGTGATACATATTTGTATCACCGACGAGAAGGACCCTGTATGGTTCCCCAGTTTGTGGTCTTCTGGTGGTGTGGTATGGGAGAGGGGTAGCCTGTAAAGTGTGCTTAGCATGTATCTTTGCTGGAGAGAAGGACCTCAGCAATGTGTCCAAGGCCATTGCTGCATCTATAGCAGTCCTATATTTTTGTACATTTTTAAGATCTGTAACATTTTCAGGCTCTGAAAAGAGTAAAACGATGGACTGAAATGACCATGTTGCCTTAGTTGTGCTGTGCTTAGATATGCAGTGATGATATATAAGCCTCCAATGAGATAATAAGTGTACAGCACCTTTTAAATCAATGCCCATATTTTTTTCTTCAGTGTTTTTATTGCAGACTGCAGCATTTTTTAAGGAAAAAAACCAAAACATTTCCATTACCTTGCCATAGGATTATTTTGAAGAGCCTATATTCAACCCACTGGTATTAAGTATCAGTGTATGTGGTAATATAAGTATCAAGAGCTCTGAAAACCTGGATCCAAAAATTTACTTGGAAGTCTTGTAATTTGTTAAGCATAATAAATAACTCATGGAAATCACATTTCATGCATGTCTTTTTCAAATAACTAAAAGAAAAATACTGTTTACTTTGGAAGTAACAGAATTGTCCTGATACACCATTGTATATAATAGCTTTTAAATACCTTTTTCTGAGTCGCACTGCCCAATATGCAGCCTTCACTGACAGTAGTAAAAGTGTGGGGGTAGCATTTGAAATTTTGGGTAGGTAATAGTACATAATGCTTTTGAAACTTGAATGGAAGAGTTCTGCTTGCAAGGAATAGTAGATTTCTGGGGCTGATGCATGCAAAATTACTAGGTGGCTGCCTTCCAATTTTGTACACAGTTTCAAGGATTGTTCTTAAGGCAACAGTCTCCCTGCATACATCACCAGCTAGTCTTGCAGTTGGCTTTTTCACAAGTAGATTTCCAGTGACAGGAATTGTTCACTGAAGTTAACACAGTTTGGGGTGTGTGATACTCAAGTCCAGGCATAGGACTTCAGTGGAGTAAAATGTGTCTTAGAGGAGCTCATCAGTTCCCAGGAGATGCAGAAAATTAATCCAGTCTTGGTAGAATCAGTACAGCTCATGGAAATCAGAGCTACATTTTCTAGAGAAGGTTTTAATTTAGTTGGCTGAATGGCAAAACATGAAGTTTTTATAAAGTAGATTGAGATGGGGGAAGTAAATGAGCTGAAATTGTGCATATTCAATAAACATTAATAATCAGTGTTTCTTGCAGTGCCCATGGAATTTGTGCAGGCATCAACGACATGCTTTGGAAAAACTCAGCTAGTGCCACAATGCTAGAACCCATACTGGCCATAAAAGCAGCCCAGGGAGTTGCTATAAAAGCATTTATGTCAGAAATTTGAACCTTTGGGGCTGGCATACTGTAGCGACTGCAGGATTTCAAAGCTTTGCACTACACAGAGCAAGATAAAATAGGGGTAAATCCCCCAGGAATGAACAAAAGTGCGGGAGCATCATATAAAATAAATGTGACAAGTCCTTAGTGGGTTTTAAACTTTATATTCATAGATTTTAAGGCCAGAAGGGACTGATACAATTATGTAGTATGACCTCCTGCATAACACAGGCAACAGGGCTTCCCTGAATTAATTCCTGCTTAATGTACAATAGCTGTGGTTGAACTAAAGCAATAGTTTTCAACCTTTTTCAAGTTGTGGATCCCTAAATATTTGCTATACCAACTTCACTGAAAGCAAACTTAATTGTCAGGCTTCTAGTTGTCTTTGATGGACGTGTTGTCCAGTGATTCCTGGAGATCTGGGGATCACAGTTTCCGAAGCAGTGAACTAGACTGAAGAAAACAAAAAGGCAAAGGTCTTGCCCCAACTCTCTAAGTTGCATTTTAGGTGCTAATAAAAAACAGGTATGCCTGCATGTCACTTATGTAATTAATTTTATATTTAATCTGTAACTGAAAATAAATACACTGAGCTGAACCCATAAACATACTTGGCCATTCAGACTGAGAATGGTGAGCTTCCTTCAGGGCAATATGGTGAAAACTTAACAGCAGCCTTTCATTAACCATACAAAATACATTGCAAAGCAAACAGTATGTACAGCCATCAGGCATACCACTCTGCTAATGCAGTAGCAAAAAATAACTGATTTCAGTTTTGGTATTTGGTGAGGCTGGGAACAATGCTTTTTGTTCTCTTTGGAGGTGAAGTAAATCCCATGGAACAGTGGAATATGTTGCAATATTTAGATCATGGACAGTGGTCAACACGGGACTTCATGATTAGAAAGCGGAGCTTGCAGAAATATGGTATGAAGGGGAAGTAGAAGTCATAGCTATCCCACCCCATCTTCTGTTCAGTGACTACTCCACTATACATCTTTAAAGTGCCAAGGTAGGATAGAAAGCCTTTGTAGTTGCGAGGAAAGTGCTAAGAAATTAAGGGGACTTTCTCTTTTTTTAATGTTTGCTATTTTTCATTAAAAGTTTGAGCTCTTGCAGATTTAGTTACATTAAATGAAGATGGCATGCAGGTATTTTCAAAGTGCAAAAATATCTGTTTTTTTTTAAAGAAAAAATCTCTATGCTGACAGACATACTGTGTCAGGATTGTAATTGAGAATAACATAAGAAAAAGAGAACAAATTCACTTAGGATTCTTACAGCCATTATGATTTGGTCACTTTGATCAAGAGCACTACTTGGAGTTGCATTTTGTTAGCTTGCCCATTGACTGCACTAGGTTTGTGTTAAAGTTATTGTGACATACCAGATTTGCACATGTGTAAGTAAAATCTCAACAGCAATATTGCGTTCAATTTTCCTGGATTTAAAAAAAAAAAAAAAATCAAGGGAAGAACTGTGATAGATGTAAACATTTCATAATGAAGTTCATGACTTCGCTCCCTCCTTTCCCTGACTGCTCCTTTTCCATAACAAATCCTCTGTAAGTAGGAGTATTAACAGTGATGGAAAGAGACTCGCCCATGCTCCAGCCATGGTATAGTACTACAAATCAACTGTGTAAAAACACCTAACTAATTGTAGTGTCTACAATAATGGTGTATTAGCTATTGAGTCAGAGTAATTTCTGTGACAATTATCTCGTTTCACCCTTTCTTTAAGTAACTGAATCTTGAAAGCATTTTCTGAACATTGCAGAGGTGGTTGTGCGTTTCTGTAAAAAAAAGGAATTTATCTTCAGAAGCCTGTAATAACTGTAATAATAACTGTATTGTTATTATTTATTAGCATTTCAGTTACACATAGACACTGAAAAGGTAGATTAAAACGCTGTTGCATTATGTTCTGTGCAAGCAAACAGCAAAAGAACAGCTTCTCCTCAAAGTGTTTGTGAGCTCTGTGCAGTGTCCAGCTGTTACTCAGGAGTCTTTTATCTAAAACTCTTGTTAACTCTTTTACCTGTAAACACTGCGTATTAGCTGCGCTCAGTGAAGTGGTTTAGCACTTGAACCACAGTTGTGAACAACTCGTGAAACTGTATTTCAGTGAACTGTGAACACTATGAACAAAGACCTCAGGCAAAGGTCTGGGTAGGCCAGATCCATCCATATGTCTTCCTTTAAGTACATACTCATAGGTCACGTACATCAAGGCACACGCCTATAGACTTCTGAATTTGTCCACATGATTTAATGGAGTGACAGAGCTACCTTGTGTCCCTGCTGCAGCCATTTATAGCTTTTTATAGCTTTTGACTTCAGGAGGAGAAGATGCTGGCTATAACTGAAAACAAGAATTACAAGTAAATAATTCTTGCTTCAGGGAAGAAAACATTACTTTACAGGCTAAAATTAGTGACTGGATCATGCAAAACCCCACAGAGGCTTATTTTTCATTTTTGGAAATCTCAGTGTATTACACAGTGCATCTTTGTGCACTACGGTATCATGTAAAGCGTGCCTTTGGCACACTTGGTGAAGCTGGGAAATAAACTGAAATCTTCAACACTTAATCTGTATTTTTAAATCTTATTTAACAGAACTCTCCCAGTAATATGAGCATGAGTAATCAGCCTGGCACTCCCAGGGATGATGGTGAGATGGGTGGAAACTTCCTAAACCCTTTTCAGAGTGAGAGCGTAAGTATTTCTGTACCTAGTGTCTGTTTTACATTGTGAACCTTTATCTCTGGCATTTCATTTAAAAAAAAGAAAAATTACGGCAAGAACACAGTTTTGTAATGTACTTGTAATGCAGTGCTGTGCTTTAGGTGTTCTTTACTGGCTTCTAAAATTATAGTATTGATTCAACAAAAAATTGCAAAATACTGCTAGAAGTTGAGCTGAAACTGGAAAATGTGTGAGGTGTAGATTTACTGCAGAAACTCTTTTTCTAGATCAAGAGGTCAGTTGTCAATGAAAGTTAGATCTGTCAAGCAGTAATAATTACACCTTATATATTCAGTAATGCACAACGGGCATTTGTGAGGCAGTATCCAAGCAGCCTAAATACACACAGTTGACAGATCCTTATATCTGTGTGTTTCAATGTGTGGTTGCCCAACCTCTGACTCCTAAACAATGTGTTTTGCAGGGAATGTCTTTTAGAAGAGGATTCATACTGAAGTATATAATTAGAGCACCAGTAGATCTCATGTTGCAAAGATGCAGTGTGCTGTTAGAACCAGAAAAAGCAAAGGTTCCCTCTAGTGTTCAGCCTGGGACAAATGATGCTTTTTTAAAATGGAAAATGCTTGAGGCAGCAAAACGTGGTGTAAAACACATTACAAAGCAAGACTACAGTATTTTCATACTCACATGCCTGAAGCTGGGTTTCTAAATCCACATTTAGGTTCCTAAATAGGAGTGGCCTGATTTTTCAGAAGTGCTGAGTGACTTCAACACTTCTATTCTTATTGGAAATCACTGCTGCCAGAAGTGAGTGCAACTTCATTAACTATGCCAGTGGTGAACTTCAGCTCAGAAATGATGCCAAGTAAACAGTTTCTGTTAGATCACAAAGCAGTCGAATTGCATGGCAAATTTCATGGGAATCAGATTTTGGGGGTTTTTGGGTTTGCTTCTTTAAATAGTGAAAAGGAAGAGTTTCTGCATGTTAGCTGTTGGTGCCTTCATAAAGAGGGCACATGTTCAGATTGTGTGGAGTATTGGAGGAAATTGGTTTGTACAACCCCAAAAGACTGATCTTTCAATATCTGTCAAAAAAACAGTAACCACAGAACCTCCATTAAATGTGATCCTTGGTCATGGTAATCCTTGACTCTCAATTTGGTATGCATTGCTTGTACAGCAGCCTGATCAGCAGGCAAGCCAGTTCACCAAACTAAAGTCATGAAAAGAAGGACATCAGCTGTACTCAAAAGAAAATCAGTTTTCTCAGACACTTACTGGATTCTAGGTGCTCCTAGATATCATTTTCCTACGTTACTTGGCTACTTAGAGTAGGCATTATTATGAAGTCCTTTCTGAGGCAAATTTGCTGTTCAGTTCACCCAGAGGTTTGCTTCAGGGTGGGGAACAGGGCTTGGCTAATAATAAGTTAAAAATCACAAACACCTTTCAATCATCTTTAGATTCCTTGTTCAAAGTGATTACCCAGGTACTTCAGCTCAGATAAAGAAAATCCCTTTGCTTTAAGCATTTGAGTTGGTCTCTGATATTGGCTAAAGATAAGCATGTTCTTATTAGCTTTGCTGGCCCACTGTGGGAGTGCTCAGCACATGATGGGACAGACAAACCATCAGAGACATGACATGGGACAAAACAGACTTTACCCAAGTAGTCCATTCTATGCAGTTTACATGCCAGGGAAGACCCATCCAGAATGCTTTTTTCTAATATGCTTGGACACTTGGAAATGACCAGCTTGAAACTCTAGCTCTGTCAGGTTTTTTGTTGCATCTGTTTTTGCAAAAGCAAATTTATCTTTCTGTTTCTTCTATCAGGTTTTGTAACACTAATATTTCTTACATTTGAACATTTTCCTCTACTTAGAAGATCTTAGGCCAAATTAAGTGTTTCTGCAGTCTGCAATTTTCAGTTTAAAAACAAATTAGGCATATAGATGTGCACTTCTTCTAGGCGTTGTGGTATCCCATTGATTATTGTAATGAAGTACTGCTAACTTGAGGACAAGTATAGCTTGAATAAGGGCTGCAGTTCAGTTTGTGTTACAATAATAATGTAACGTGGTGATTGAATTTTTGGTTCACGTAAAGGAGAATGACCACTGATCCTTGATTTAGCTTGCCTCCTAAAATGGGTAATACAAAATAATACAGACCAGAAAGCCTAGTTTAATTCCAGTCGAACATATCCTCACTCCCTTTTTTCCATAAAGTAATAAAAAGCTCTCAAAAATATTTATGTCCTTCAGCTAACCATGAATGCAGCTGGTCTACTTGAGACTAGCCATCTGCGTAGTTAAACCTGCCTCAGTAGCCAACACTGACCACGAAAAGGTCTGGAAAGAATCAGTGAAGTATTGGTTCATCACACCACCCAGGTAACACCAAAACAATCTGCAAGGGAATTGGCTTTATCAGTAAGAGTTGTATTTTTACATAATGAGAGAAGCATAACAGAAGTTATGATACCACAAATTGAACTACAGCCTTAGCACAGGCTACAGCACAAATTTAGGAGGAAGTTCAATGAGCGTGTTGACATTTGAACTCATTGCTGTGGTCCAGAAGTGGTTTTAGTTACCTGGGGGGAAAAATGGCTGTTAAAATGTGGATTCCTCTTTTTTCAGTACTCCCCTAGCATGACAATGAGTGTGTGATCCATTAACAAGTCTCACCATGAAGACCACAGTGAGTTGGCCCTCTTCAGAGAGCTACTGCAGAAGAAAATTATTCGTCCCAGTATACAGTTTAACAAAAGGATCTCAGACACAATCAGACCCACCATTTTTTTTTTCTACCATCATCTCCCCCGTTTTGTCAAGACAGTGGGTCCCAAACATGATTGAGACAACTGTAAAGAGTGGCGTAACAGAACTGCCCAAGATGGAACTGCAAACAATTATCTGTGTATGTACATGTGTGGGTTAATGTATATGTATGTGTGTGTGATATAGAAATACACACATACATATATAGACCTGCAGGACATTGTAAAATATTATCACATGACATCTTAAGTAGAAATGAGAAGTAGGGACTTCTATTCCTTCTTTTTTTTTTCCCACGTTTACATTTTAATTATTAAAATTTGCTTTCCCTCTCCCCTCCTGAACTGTTGTATGTTGCATATATCACTGCTTTATAAGTTATTTTTTAAGGTGAACTCAAATGATAAATTCTTCTGATTTTGTAAATGTCTGCCATTATGGATAGGAATAAAATTGCTTATAAGAGCTTTCATTAACTTGTGTTTGATACCAGTTACCCTGTGAATCACAAACTGTACTGTCTCAAGAAATAGAAGAAAGCTCATCTTAATTTTTTGGAGAAATTTAATAATTTTCACCTAGTTTGGTGATTTTTTTTTAATACTTTGCCTTTAAAAAAAAGAAGCACTGAAGGTTATTTTTCTTCTTTAATTGAAGCCTAATATCTGCAATATCTATTTTAAATGGAAGCCTGAATTTGATACAAGCTTCTCAGTTTATATAGAGTACTATAAGGTTACTGTAAGTGAGCTCCAATTGCTATAGAATCTAGCAATAAAGTGTCAGGGCTGCTTCTTGCCCTCGGAAATGAGTTTTCTATTTAGCATGATCTTCCATAGGGGTGGTAGTTAGTGGAAATACAGTAGAGTCCTTATCACAGAAACCTTTTCTAAGAATTTACTACTATGTTTCCCATTTTCAGTGATTCTCAACTGAATTGTAACAATCCATGGTCCTAATTATAAACAGTATTTCCCAAGCCCATTCAGAAAATCAGGTCACCCTGCTACTTGGGTGTGTATTTTTCACCACGTCTACCAGAATTAATTCCCCCAAAACTTTCCAGTAAGCAGTCTTTCTTTTTTTTTGAGCCAAAATGATGGAGTAAACTTTTTATGACTACTAGCCTTGTGAGGGTCTTACCTTTTGCCATGAACAGAAGAGGAACAAAGGTCTGGGCCATTTTATAAGGAGATCAGCCTATTAGACATGAAAGCTGGGGACAGAATGGAGAAAAGGCATATGATTTTAAAGGAAATGCTTCTGGAAGCAATCCCATGTCTCTTCAGGCAAAGCTCTAAAACCAAGATTATGATACACTTAGTTCCTAATGACTTCCAGCTCCCCCAAGAAAAGAAAAGTTTTCAGTGTGTAGTGATGAAAAGGTTGATGATCAGCAATGGGGGCACGAAGTGGTTGAACAAAAATTCATGCTACAGACAAAAAGCAAAGTCCTCTCCTTGGACTTTGCATGTACAAGAGCCACTTACGTAGGAGGAGCAGTTCTGAGATGTGGTTATGTCCATGAAGTCTTGCAAGGGGATTTTTTTCATGAACTTGCGATAAAGAAGTATATGTAATGGGCTGATTGTGATGGTAGCTGCACATAACGGGATGTGTAAGGAATACTAGTTTCCTAACTAGTTTTTATTTACATATATTATATAGATATACACACATATATACACATATATAATATATGAAAATAAAAATAAAAAGGTTTAACACTTTTTACTCTCTTGTTAGGGCTATTCAAAGATTAAATGCTTGGAGGCTTAAAATTATATTCAAATGTCAAAAGATTTTGGTGGCATTACTTTTTAGTAATAATAACTACTTTGATTAGTTGTAAACATAAACTAGATAGTTATTATATGGTTTTGTGGACTTTATTCCCAGTGATTATGAAGGTTACATTCATTTGCTTATCTTTGGAAAACACTTTGTTGCTGTCTCAAAAGATGCTAGAAGCCCCTATTGTTGATTTGAGTTACAAAACCACAAAAGCAGGTCTAATTTCCTAAGACCCTTGCTGTTGCCACTAATACCACTGGTTTCAGTGGCTATGTCCCCAGTGCACCCCAGCTTCTCCCATAAGCATTGCAGACTCCAGCTGTCCTTGCAGCCTGCATTTGACATCTATATTATCCTTGGTAGCCTTCTAAGCAGGACTTCAGGACTCTTTTCTGCCCAGTTTCAGTCAGATGATGTCACTGCTACTGGGCTAAGGTAGCTGGATATGTCTGGACTATGCATCAAGTGCCACACACCAGGTAAGTGTGCCCTGAAGTAAGCTCTCAAACTTTTGAGTGCATCTGGGGTCTGCTGGAGCTAGAACTTCTTACTCTGGCAAAATTAAGCAGAATCGGGGCTTCATATTAATCAGAGACTAAATTTTAATTTTTTTTTTTCTTTCTGAATTTGGCATTATCTGCAATAGCTGAGCTTACAGGTGCCTGTTAAGGATGAAAGTCTGACCATTAAATTAAACCTGTGCAAAGAAACCCCTTAAATGGAAGTGCCAACACATATTGAATATCATCATCAAAACATGTTATCCTAATTTACATACAAGAGCGTAGCATCCTTTCAGGCACATCATAGTTTTTCTTCTGTATTTCTTTCGAACTCCCTTCTATACAATTTTTCTTACTGCCAGCATATCTTTGTTTTGCTTTTCCATTTCTTTTCCAAAACATTTATATCATTAAGCATTGTTGCATTGATCCTCAGCATTAATCTTGGTAAATATATTCCTGGCTTCAGAATGAACAGGATCAAGCCCTGCTTCTCATAGCCTGTCATTCTGTGCCCTGATATTGCAAGTTACTAGGTATGTCCAGTACTTCTCATACCTATCTAGTCCCACAGACTGGTGGAATAAAAGACGTGCAAGCTTGCAAAATTTTAGATTTGGAAGATCTGCTTGAATGCTCACTGCATATCTTATTGTTACAATTTTAATCAGATATAGGGAAACCTTATCATCTTGCTTTCTGTAGGGAATGCTTACATCCCTATGCTTATGTACATGAGTGAAGTTACTTACACATGCATTGGTAAGATCAGGTGATACTAACCATACATAGGTTCTGCAGCTGAACCATTAGAAAACGATCTTGTGTGCTAATACTCAACTTTAAGATTATAAGTATCCCTTTGGGGTTTTTTAAAATATGCATAGAGCTTTTTGCTTGTTCATTTGTTTTCTTTCTTTTGCTTATAAACCCTTGTAGGATTTTCATCATATCTAGAGTATTAATGTGGAAAGAAAGACTATTTCCAAGCATTGACTTTTTACTTCCGCTTAAGTTCCTATTGCACTAGATACCAGTGTGTAATGTAACTGCTGTTTATATCTGTCCTTATTCAACAGCATTACTGATAATGTCAGAACTTGTTCCGCTCTGGGAGGAATTTTATTTTAAGTGGTGCAGGATAGTTTTTCCACACTGGGTTTTTAGATAGAGGTCTCTCTTTAATATAGAAATAAATAGATCATGATTCTGTAAATGGGTCTTTCAGGCAAGGTTGAAGTAAGGCTTTTTAAAAACAGAAGTGATGAAATCTTAGAGTAGCAAAAATAGGGAGTAATGGATCTTTCATACTAAGAATTCTGGCAAATATTCTGGCCTTGTAGAAATCAGCTGAAATTGGGATTCACTTATGAATTTCACAGTGAAACCAGTATTTTACCTGCTGCATAAACCTATGAAAAAGAGTATTCATACCCAGATTTTATCTCCATGTCTAAGTCTTGTATAAGTAAGAACAGGGTTTAAGGCAAGGAGGAAGCTGTGTGAATCACATGTAAAGCATGTGGCCTGACATGTGCATTAAAAACATACCTAGATATTTGCATGTATGGGTTGCATTATTTTCTTAATTGCTTGAGCATGAGGAAGAACTGCAGTTGCACTCCGTGTTCCCCCCTTCCACTGTAGAGTGAGTTTGATGCATGTAAAAAAAAAGGGCAATGACCTTGAGTCAAGTCTTTGACACACCGTATGCTGCCCAGTGACATAAATGTGCCTCAGCTTGACTGGGAGGCATCTCAGAGTGACAGTCGTCAAATCAGAGGGTCATCAGTCAGCCTGTGGCTGAGGCCACATTTGCCATTTTTTATTTGGAAGCCTTCTGGTTGCAGAGCCCAGACCACCAATGGGTCACGTATTCAGAGACAGTAATAACTTTCAGATTTACCAGCCTACTCCCCTTAATATAGGATTAAATGCCCCATGCCCCAGGACATCCAGCTGTTGCTTTCCCTTGCAATGGGAATATGCAACAAGAAATGCATAGGCTAATTATTTATTTTAAATAATTAAAATTAGGAAGAAGTTAATAGAATCTTGTTTCTTTATGGATAGCAATTCATGTGTCAGAAGGACAGCTTCTTGAACTGACTAAAAATCATTTGAATTTTCCCCTGTTCTGTGGCTAGCAAATGAAATACTGCATATAAAGATGATTTGGAATTAGATGGGTAATTTAATGAGGGACCAGCTGTTACAATATTCAGTGTTGAGCATTTTATTCTTGTTTTCCTTTTACCAGTCAAAACGAATTTTCAGCTGATACATGTTCCACCAAATTCTATTTCTCAGATCAGTTAATTATTTTTAAGTGTTACCTCCTGTTCCTAGTCAGCTCTGATTCTTTGTTGTTGTTGTGGTTGCTAAATATGGACTGGATTCTTCAAGATTTGACCCTACAGATTTGCATTTGGAGAATGTAAAATAGATCTTAACGATGTAAAAAGAAGATCAGTACAGGTAAATTTATTTTTCTTTAATTCACTGTAAGTGATGATATAACCATGGCTCCTGTCCCAAACGCGCTTGGGTTTGGTTGGGCCCTAAGGATGAGAATCCTGACAAAGCACATCTTTCAAATAAACCCCAAAAAACTCTTTCAACAGTGACAGCTCATTTCTCTTCAAACTGATCACACTAAAGATCTAATTCAGGATTTAATGATACGAAACAACTATGAAAATTCAGTAGACTCAGAGATAAATGAGTTAGATTTAAATTTTAGTGTGTGCAGGTTCCTCTGCTTTCCAGACATTGCTGGCTCAGTCCTATAAGATGCTGCTCATGCCAGTTGTCCTTCTCAAACTTTGATGAAACCATTCACATAAGGTCATGGTTTTGGTAGGATTTCACCTGATCTGGGTGAAATGTATGATTTATCTGAGGTGCAACATTATTTAGCAGATATATAAACTGAGTAAATAGAGCAAAATACAGAGGGTCTGAAGAAATTACCAAAATGATGTTTCAACCTGAAAAACAATGAAAAAGTCCTTATCTAAAATACTGCTTTGAGTTCATGCATGCAAATTGTCTGCCAGTGCTGTTATCTTGGAAATAAATTACAGTAACAAATTTAGAGAAAATAAATGGATCACCTACTCAGCACATTAAAACTCTGATCCTGCAAACACATTCAGATTTGTTTGAAATACAGCCTGCAGATAGTTAATTTTAAACAGATTTAAGAATAAAGTAGTATCCTTCAGGAAAGTGGGACTGCTAAAACCATGCTCAAGCGTGGACAGTGTAGAAGCTCAAATTAAGTCTTCCCTAAACAGACATTATTTTAAAGATTTTACCAATGCAGGAGCATTTTATGTATCTAGTACTGATATGCTGAGCAGATTTGGCTTTCTTCTGTTTCTTATTTTATTAGAGCATTGTTCACTACTATATGAGCTATTTTTCTGAACTTGTCCTTCTGTCTTGTTTTCAGTTGTGCAGCCATAGTTCCCTCAACACAGCTAACAGCTTTGCAACTTTAGTCCAAACTTCTGTTTGGTCACTGTTCTTCATTTAAGCTTAAAAAATGTAAGAAAGCCTCTCATGTAATGGGAAAACTTGCCATAAAAATGTATAAAGGTTTTCTTGGGTACATGTTTTCACATTAATAAAATGCAATTTTCAGTTATAATTTGAAATGGTGACTTTCTAGCCACTCTTTAATTTCAATGTGGAAAAGAAAC